ATATTATATATATTTAATCAACTTTTTAATATTGCCTCTAAACTGGCAATAACTACATAAATTTGGTGTCACATGCGCCCAGAAATGGCCAATGTCTTCTCGGTGCACAAGATGAACTGGTTTGCGCTGCCGAGGAGATTAGGGTCAGTTGAGAAGATTAACTCGACGTATTTTGCAATTGTGTCAGTTTTGACGGCTAATACACTTAGATTTGTCGAAAACATTTCCGGTTTTTCATTGCGGAGGCTTACTTTCTGACGGTCTAATCGGTCTACCTTGTAATTCTTCTGGGGGACGGTAGCTCAAACCACGGTGGTTAACTGTAGGAGTCGTAGATAAGGGATGCTGGTTACTCGCACAGCAGCAGAAAAGCACGTCGTCGGTGATTTGGAGCAAGATGGCTTACACAACATCGGGTTGTCAGTCTTCAAACTCCGTCCATCGGCACATGCTTTCGCGCTGCGAGAACTCGCCTGCCTGTTATTACAAACGTTCTAATTGCCTATCAAAGGGGGAGGGGGGATTTAGACGGTCGGTGGTGGTAGGGGGCTAGGAAGGTGTGGTTAGAGTTGGTGAAGGAACAAGGGGAGGCGCACGTACCCTCGCAGGTTCTTCCATCAGCCTGCAAATCGAATCCGGGACTGCAAGCACATTCTGCCGTTCCCGCGGCATTTCGAATACACTTCTGCGTACAGCCGCCGTTGCTGAAGAGGCAGGGGTCCGCGACCTCAAGCACCACTCCTAAAAAAGACCGCGCATGTTAGATCTCTTTGCGGGGGGGGCAGTTTCTCAGACAAAAGAGAGAAGTACACCTTTGAAGACTTTCCAGCCTGAACCCAGCTTCCACGAGGTAGCCGCATAAAACGTCACTAACCGGCACATGGCTGAGATGTGCGGTTTTGCGAAACGCAAGTTTTAAAGACAGTTTTAATGTCTTTGCGGTGTATTTTAAAACACAGAAATAGAAAGATATCGCCAGTGCTTACGATTAAAGTTTTGCATCACGGAGGTATCGCCCTTTTGCCCCCCTGACGGGGTCAGCATACAGAAAGTTAAATCGACTTCAATCCAGGCTTCTTGCTACACAAAGCCGCCTTCATGCACAAATACGATGGCCGCCGAATGCTAAAAGGAGTTGCTCTAATAGTTTTTTTCTGGCCTTTAGGCTTCCTTTTTAACCAATAGGAGTTGCTCTTGCAGTTTTTTTCGGTCTTTTCACAACCTTCTCACCTACATTTTTTAGTTCAGAAAAACATTTACATGCAGCTTTAATTTTTTTCCTATTGTGCATACATCAAGCATTAAACGCGCATTAACTACGCATTCATTAAGCATTAAACTTTTTATTATGATTTCCGTAAGAAGGTTTGTTGGGGGGGGGACGTTTGCCACTGGGCGATCATGCGAGCAACTCTTACCAAT